GGGCTTAGGAGCCTCCTAGCCCCTAGAGGCCAAGGGGACTTGTCTTCTTGTGTCACGCCCCGTGCGTGACCCTGTTGCGGGAGCGGCTGGCAAGGCCGCGCCCGGAGTGCAGCGTCTGGGAGCCCCCGAGCCTCGATGGCTCGGGGCTTGTCTTTTTGCACTCGGCCCTTGGCTAGCATCGTAGGTCGGGCAGGAGCCAAGGGCCAAGCATGGGTGCGTCATCGATTGGGAGCCTAAGGCTTGGGCAAGCCCCTGAGCCCTAAGCGGGGGCTGTGGCGTGCCTAGGCTCGGTCAGGAACCATTGATCCCGAGGCTTAACATACCCATATGTTAGAATCTCGTCACCTACCAAAGAATCCAACCATTACCCACTTGAGATAGCTTCTATGGGCACAGCGGATGCCTGTATCAGACGCCTTCAATAGTCACATTCCTACGGTTATGAACCTAGCTGTTGGACCTTGTAGTAGATTTTGGTGCCACTGTCCGATTCCCACTGGATAGGTCCGGTCAGTGTTAGCTCATTTTGTCTCATTTTGTTACCTCTCTGGTAGAATAGGACGATGCTCAGGTCTAGTGTATAGGATGCACCGAACTTGTTCGGTCAGTGCTGGTCCGGTGTACACTAGGTTGGCACAGTGCTTAGCTAAATCCTGGCTAGTGAAACACACAGGCCGACCTATCTAGCGGACACATCCAGTGCACCACCTAACACGTGTACGGTGCTTGCTAAACAACAGCACTGACAACACCAACTCTCTTCTTCGCAAAAGTGCCAACTCTCAAATGTTTTGCCAAACATCTAAGTCCTGAGTTAGCATTTTCAAACCAATTTTGCTTGCTCACCACCATGTCACTAGGACTATAATGCACATGCATGTAGATCAACACCTAATGGCATTAGATGACTAAGATTTCTAATTAGAGCTCCTATCTTAATAGTACGATCATCTATCCTAAACCGATCACGCACTTTATTGCGTCTTGATCGGCAAAATAAAATCCCTATTTATACCTTTGCCTTCACAACTTGGATTTTGTTTCTCTCTTTCTTCTTTTCCAAGTGAGAGCTTGCTCCAATGTGAATGATCACCCTTCATCCATCTCCAAGCCTTGCTCTCCATCTTAATGTGAACCTTAACCTAGCTTAATCAAACACTTAGCAAAAGGTTAGTCCACTAGTTGTCTCAATTACCAAAACCAAATATAGGGCTTTAAACTAACACCACCTAAATTCACCTTATCGGTTTCAGTTGTTGAAGAGGCCAATTTGGCATTGTTAGCCGCTGCGTACATGCCTTGATTATCATAAAAATTATAAGGCATGCCATATTTAGGTTCTTTAGAAGCCAATTCATCAGCGGATGCATCAACATAATCGGGCGTCTTACCTCAAGCTTATCAAAACATGACATGATCATGTTAATGACAATCATAAGATTATTATCGGTGATCGTCCTATGGTCTTGCATCATATTAGCATAATCAACATGAGTATGGTAAGGATCATCTACCTCTTCATTAACTTTTAACTCCGGTGTAGTAGATGTAGAAGCCTCTGGGTCGCCTAAGATGGGATCATGGTATCAACTAACATTGCCCCGCCCATCCTTGATGCAACTCGTAAGGAATGCTTGTAGATCAGTGGAGAACTTAGCCTCAATCTTTGTCGAAGATTCTAATGAAGCTCTTTGATTGACATCAGATTCTTGATGTACCCTTGGTTGAAGGGATTAGTGTGATCACCCATATCCTTGGGCTTTTCATCATCCTACATGTTGCTCATAGATTTCTTCTTCCTTCTCCCTAGTGAAGTCACCAAAAAGTGTGTTGACACAGATTTGAGTCACACACACCATCAAGGGCTAGCACGCTCGAGTTCACACATGACTTTGATCCCAACAAGAATGTATTAAATCAGCGAAACGGACCAACAAGCTGGTTAGGCCGATTCGACGCTAGTTCTTTGCTTGGTAGACTCCCAAACATCTCCCGGGACCCATCAGGGAGAGGCACAGTGAGGTTTCCTAGGGCCGCCTAGAACACCATCAAATCTCATTAAGAGACGTGACCAAACACCAAGGTAAAAAAAGGTTAGGGAAAAGGGTAGTAGATGTGTTTTTGACGATTGGAAGTTGGATTTCTCAATCGGCCGTGATCCTCTCGTTATATAGAAGGGATGGTCTTATCCCAGTAAAAAACATATCTAGAATGCAATCTCCAAGTTTCCCTTGTTGAAAATAGATCTAAAACCGATTTGTAAACAAATCGGACCGAGAAAGATTAGACAAACCGACATGGCCGGTTTTCTCAAGACTAAGCACTTTGGCCACTCGACAACACAGGGAAACCGGCCAGGCCGCTTTGGGATAGGGCAGAGACCAAATTTGCTCTTTCTTCGTTTGGGCCTCGATTCTTGTCGTGTCAAATATTCTCTTGCACCTCCTTGATGTCAAGAAGTTATTAGTGAAGCCCAATCTCTCTATTGATATATTTTTGGTCGTCAACACCATCATATATATTTTTATAGTAAACTCATTTGGAGATATAAATGTTGATACTATTTTTTAAAAATATAGTTAAAGTTAAGTTCGATTGATGAGTCCTCAAAACGCGGGATAAATTTCAGAGGGAGTAGTCATAATTTTTTTTGAAAAAATGTAGTGGGTCTTACAGTCAAGGCCTAGCAGTTAGAGCGACTTTGCCCTGACCATGGCTCTCCGAATTGGCCATTTGCGAGATGGATAGGGGATCCAATGGCATAGATGTCGTACTCTCTTCGTCCCAAAATAAGTGCATGTCTCACTTCTCAAAGAGTTAAATATTTTTAAATTTAATGAAGTATGCATAAAAAATAATCATATGTAACTAGTATCATTAGATTGACATGGAACATACTTTCAAAATACATTTATTTGGAGATGCAAACATTGATACTAGGACAACCATGTTTGGATCCAGAGACTAAAGTTTAATCCCTGTCATATCGGACGTTTGGATGTTAATTAGGAGGATTAAACATGTGTTAATTATAAAATTAATTGCACATATGGAGACTAATTTGCGAGACGAATCTACTAAGCCTAATTAATTCATCATAACACATATTTACTGTAGCACTATATTATTAAATTATGGACTAATTATGTTTAATAGATTCGTTTCACAAATTAGTCTCTATCTATATAATTAGTTTTGTAATTAGTCTGTTTAATACTCTAAATTAATGTCAAACATCCAATATGATAGAAACTAAAGTTTAGTCCTAGGAAACACCCCCGACACCCAACCCACAATGTCTTCAATTATAAACATCTACCTCCACCACTGCTTTCTCTCTCTCTCTCCTTATCCTTCCCCCTGTAAGTCTCCTTTTTCTTCGCTGTACAAAAGCAATTCCTCATGCAAGACGCTCATGGCGAGCGCGCAGCATGGCTAGAGCTACGATGGCGGCAGGGGTGCAGCGTGGTAGGGGCGCTCGCGGGCAGGCGCACGATAGCACGCAGCGGCGGCGAGTGCTCTTGCGTAGGGGGCGACGCGGCTATGAGCGACGTTCACAGATAGCTAGGCTCGGCAGCAGGCGAGGCGGCCGTTGTGCAGCGACGAGGCAAAAGGCTAGTACTCTGCGCGCAAGTATCGTGACCGTGAGCGGGCACGACGACGAAGTGGCTGTACGCGGCGACGGCGAGCTTGCAAAGCTTGGCAGAGGCAACCAACTCATCCCGTCACGTCATTGGGCCGAGCGCGGCATGGCAGCGGCGAGCACGGTAGCACATCGTCGAGCAGGCGCGCAGGCCCCACCCTGGAAGAAATGACCCATTTCATCCCAATGCGATAAAGATTGTTTCATTGTGCCTTAGGTGTTGAGTCGACGCTGTTTCTCAGTTGAGAAACCGTTTCCTCAAATTCTCTCTCTTTCTTGGTCCTTAAGTAGTGTGCCACGTCGGATATTGGCTTTAGCTGACAGATCATTTAAGTCCATGGAAACCGTTTCCTCCTTCAGCGCTGGGACTACCCTTATGCTCTTCATAGTTAGTTATTTTCACCTTAAAAGAATTTACACATGTCATTTCTCGGCACTTGTTCTGGACTTTTTTTAAGGGATGAAAAGCCTTAAGTGCTAATGACCGATTAATTAGTATCATTAGATTCGTCTCGCAGTTTTTTGATGGGTTCTGTAATTTGTTTTTTTATTAGTATCTAAAAACTCCTCCCAACATTCTTCCAACACATCCGATATGACGCCTAAAAATTTTCACCTCACCAACTAAACACCTCGTCAGTTAACCTTAAAAGAGATACATTTCTCGGGCACTTGTTCTGGACTTTGGAGGAAGTACGTAGGAGTAGGCCAACACATCTCTCAGCCACGTTGACAATTTGACACCCGCACGGTCACTTCATCACTGTCACACAGACTCACAGCTCGAGGAGGTAGTATTTGCCAATTTTGCATCTCATCCCCAACAACTGTCGTATATATACTCATATCCTTGCACACATATCCTCAGGAGGCAGGAGTGCAGTGCGAGGGTTGGAAACGGATTCCGTATAGATTGGGGTGAGAGCACGAAACGTGTGCCACTTTTGTCTTCGGTCTGCAGCAGCTCCTCACAGCCAAAGCAGGCAACAGGCAAATTTCTACGGGACTGTCTTCCCCCTGCTTTTTTCTTCTCCCCTTCACACCCCCGCGTGCGGGCTCACACCCCTCGTTCGTGGCGACGCTTGAGCGACCACCGCAGCCCGCCCGACGCCAAGTCTTCGCCGTGCCGCTCGCCGGCGACGAGCACCCTCCAGGTATGCCCGCCCCTACTTTTCCCTTCCTGCCGCGCGAAACCGAGCGCCCAAACCCTAGCTTACGCTATTTGGCATTTCCACTCGGATCTGATCTAGTTGCAAGTGTACAAATGTCTTATGCCTGCTAACTTCGATTGTTTTTGCAAAAATTGACTTTTTTTTTCTGGGTTCGCCCCTGTGCAGCGTAAGGAGGGGAGCCGGAGATGTTTTACTCGCAGTTCATCTTGGCCAAGAAGGGCCCCCTCGGGACCATATGGATTGCCGCGCACTTGGAGCGGAAGCTGCGCAAGAACCAGGTCGCGGACACGGACATCGGCGTCTCAGTAGGTGGGTGGCCTTGCTTACGCTTCCAACAATTTGATTTTAATCTAGGGTTTGCACTCTACTGTTAGGTCTGTGCATGCTGTGACCTGACCCGTAGGATGCTATAGTGTTGTTCTGCTAATGCTCGTCAGTGTTGTAGCTGCACTGAACCAAAAAAAATGCTAAATTTAGCTCATTTATTTATGGTTTCTCTGTATCTGTCCCCGTGGCTATAGCGTCCGTACTACTACCTCCAGCCAAGAAAACTTGATGTTCAGACAAGCAAAAGAACAAAGCGAGCTGTGCAACCTGTCTGAAACGAAATGTTTATGTAACTGCAATAGAAGAATTTTAGCCCTTCTAGTTATGTCCAGGGTTAAGTAGCTTCTACCTGTTGCTACCAGAGGCGTAAAAAGATAACCTTTTTTGAGCTGTCCATTCTTTTTTGGCAACATATCAGGTGCAAACCAACCAACCTGCGCAACTAGAAAACCATCAATCAGGACCACTAGATGCTGATCCAATGGATGGGGTGAGGGGGCTTAAGCGTAAAAAAAAAGGCCGGCGAGGTGGGGGGGCTTAAGCGCAAAAAAATCCCACCTCTCACCCCATCCATTGGATCAACATCTAGGGGTCCTGATTGGTAGTTTCCAAGTTTACACAAGTTGGTTGGTTTGCACCTGATACGTTGCCTTCTTTTTTGTTTAGTTTGTGGTGCATCATCGACATCGCTGGAGAAAATCATTACTCGGTACATTTGGCACGATATTACCTTGGTGCATGTAGCTGTTTCTTTTTGCTGTTCTATTGCCTGCTAGGGTTAAAAGCACCGATGGCTTTTTTGCTCAGTTACATTGTTTGTTGCTGAGCCGAAGGGGTGTCTGCTTTGGGAATACTACAGAATTTTTGCATTAATTTCGCCCTATTGGGAGTAATTCTTAGGTAAAACTTACAACAACAACAACAACAAAGCCTTTAAGTCCCAAACAAGTTGGGGTAGGCTAGAGTTGAAACCCAGCAGAAGCAATCAAGGTTCAGGACACGTGAATAGCTGTCTTCCAAGCACTCCTATCTAAGGCTAAGTCTTTGGGTATATTCCATCCTTTCAAGTCTCCTTTTATTGCCTCTACCCAAGTCAACTTCGGTCTTCCTCTGCCTCTCTTCACGTTACTATCTTGGCTTAGGATTCCACTACGCACTGGTGCCTAGTGGAATCCTAAGGTAAAGCTTATTGAAACAATATAATTCTAGCACCCTGTGTCGTGTATGTGACATGTGGAGAGAACTCATCTTTCTGGCTTGGTTACTGTGTTTGTTTTTTAACCTTTGGATAATAATTCGTTATTCTAGTTGTACTAGTGTGTGACCTTTTTCCCTCTCCCTCCTTTCTTTTTCCTTTTACGTGATCGTCCGTTTGTCACTTCCATATTAGGAGGACTGGGAGTGCTTTTAGTTCTTGATGCTATTATCCATCATCAAGCGGCTTGAATCTTGGTTGAGTTGAATAATTTAATCACTCTACTCTGGATTTGGAGAAGCACAGTTCAGTAGACCAGTGTTCAAAAAGGCGCTCGCCTAGGCTCGCTTGGGCGCGCTTCAACGCTAGGCGGAGGGGCACCGCCTCGCCTAAGGGTGTAGGCGGAGGTTAGGCGGTGTGCCCCCCAGATCCAGGGCTGCGGGAGGGTCGACGGGAGGCGGCGAGCGCGCCAGGAGGCTAAAGGCGGGCGTGGGGGCGGCGTGGAGGTCGGGCGACGATGGGGAAGGAGCTACATGAGGCAGCGGCGGCCGGTGGGAAGTGGCGGCGGGCAGATCCGTCAAGGCAGGGACACACGGACGTCGGGCGGCGGTGGGGGAGGAAGTAACGTCGGCGGGGGCGGCGACGGCCGGTGGGGAAGGAGGCGACGTCGGGCGCTGGCGGCGGCGCGGGTGAGCGACGGGCACGGCCGCACGGGCAGAGTTCGGGAGGGAGAGAGAGACGGGAACAGAGAGGCTGGGAGGGGAGGGGAGGGGATAAGATGACTGTGGGAGAGTTGGGCCCTTAAATGGGCCTTCTTCTTTTTCTCCTTGTTCCATGACCACTGATCTCCTATTTTTTCTTTTCTTTTAAGTATTTATGCATGTATTAGCCATCGCCTAGAAAAACGCCTTGAAACGCCTAGGCTAGCCTAGGCTCTAGGCCGTGGGTCGTCGCCTAGAAACCGCCTAGCGCCTTCTTGAACTTTGCAGTAGACTGGTGTAGCATCTAACTTACACATAATATTTATCAGGAGCATTCTATGCTAATGCTGTTTGGGTGTCTTTCTTACAATTTATGCATTTAACTTACACATAATATTTATCAGGAGCACCCCTTGATGCATGTGATACATGAAGGCGCTATGATGTAATTTTGTAATTCCTCTTTCGCACAAATGCTGAGCGCTGTCCATTGAGCTGCAATGTAATATTGAAAAAATAGTTCTTTTTAGTGGCTGATGGAATATATCCATTGATCTCTGTGCTGCACATGCCTCAAGGGGAAAAAAAGACTTGTTTCGCTATTTGCCCCAATATTGTCTTATTGAGTTGGCCTGTTAAGCTAGGGTTATAATAGTTTTGAGGCAGCCAATGTTGACAATGACATTATTCCTTTTACTATATGCCATATTATGTTTTTTCAGACCATGCATAAATTGATATCGCTACCACCTGGCAATATCATCCATGCTTTATAGAAAACATACAAAGTTGCAAACATGTATCACAGAAAGCAATGCATACTCAAGTTCCTTATGTAGAAGAAGATTTTAAGAGAATTTCAGCCTACATCACATCGCATGTCATAAATTAGGGAGATATCTAAATTAGGTGAGTACGGACAACTACCAGCCTGAAGTCCAATGCCACGGGTTATGCCTCGTGAAAAAAAATACTTACAGAAAATCATTACTTGCTAGGTAGTCCTGATTTGTTGTATTATGATGCTGTGAAATTGATACTATTTTCTTTTACGAGGAATGAATACATGTATCCATCTAACTCTCTGTTCAGAAAGACTTTGTTTTGGTTATGTGCCCTGTTATTCTGGTAGGCCTGACCAGTTGTCATATTATGTTGGGTTAGGGTAGTAACAATTTCAAGGCAGCCAATACAATACATTCAAATTACCATGTCATATTATATTGTGTTGTGCAATCTTTTTGCACCTTGCATAAACTGATGTTCTCTTAGCTATTTCATCTGAGAAACGCGATGTGTCTGCCATTATGATACTGTGGGATACCATCCAACCCTCTAAATTGATATATGCCTGGCTAGCACGAGGTGTTGGTTCATATCTGGAGTATTTCTTGTTTAAAAATAGCATCGCTGGGCATGTGGCCGCAGTGCTAGCAGAGACATGAATACTGGTTGCGAGTGTATCTAATAAATGGAAATGAAGATGCACACATTTAATTAATCTCTCTAGATACTTGACCATCTAGAAGGTCATATACAAGGAAAGATTTCTTTACAGCATGCTTAAAGCTTAGAACACTTGATACTTCACACTTTCTTTCTTCAAGGAGCCAATGGAGCATATTTTACATTAGAAGCTGCCAGTCTGGATGGGGCAAATCTGCCATCCAGTACAATTGATATGACATCGTGTAGAATTTAATGATAGTATTCGCTTTTTGACCAAACAATTCTGCATTGTACGTTTTCTATAATTCTGAGCTGAAAATCTGTGGTCGCTATTCCTGCAGATTCCATCATATTCCCTGACGTTCCAATCGCACTTCGGTTATCAAGTCATCTTATGTTAGGCGTTGTCAGAATCTATTCTCGGAAGGTCAACTACCTATTCCATGACTGCAGCGAAGCTTTGCTGAAGATAAAACAAGCTTTCAGGTCCACTGCTGTTGATCTACCTCCTGAGGAGTCAACTGCTCCGTATCACTCTATAACTCTGCCTGAGACATTTGATCTTGATGATTTTGAACTGCCAGAAGCTGCGTTTCAAGGGTAAAGCCGCAGCCTCTGTTTAATAACTTCACTATTTAAGAATGCTTTGTTCAGTTTTTTTTCTGAACACTTTCCGCTATGGTCCAGCGACACTGATCATCATGTGAGCACAAAAGAACAGATCACTTTGCAAGACAACCCAGAAAAAACAGGGTATTCAACATCCCAGTTTGGCCTAGATGGTTGGTCCTGTCTCTGTCCTCATCTTGTCTGACTTCATTTCTTTTATAACATTTTAACCATGGCAAAGTATTCAATGTGCAGAAAGATTTGGTGATGGTAGTTCATCTCATATTGGCTTGGACTTGGAGGAGGTATTTATATTACTTTTCTCCTTTTCTCTTCGAATAGTTTTTTCTGTATGTTATGCTCTGATTGCATGATGGTACTCTGGTCCATCTAATAGTGGACTTAACAATTTATTGAAGTTGAGGTAATTTCTGGTTTTTGTATGTTGTAAATTAGAATAAACGAAAAAATCCCATCTGTCTTGATAGTTTATCTTATTTAGATAGAAGAGCGGCCTGACTTTATGATACCAGCATTAAAACTTTCTGACTAAGAGCTGATTAGATTTATCTGTTGTCAGGAATTAATTCTGAACAAGGACCACTCAATTCATCTTGAGTCTGATGATGGGTAAAGTTGCCTCCTTTTTCTTTTGAATTGTCTTTCTTATTTTCTCTTGGACATTTGATTTAACTTGTTTTTTTGTCTGGGTGTAACAATCTGTATCTTTTCTTACATCCAAAGTTTTGACTTCCTGGTTCTCCAGGAATGATTATAAGTTTATTTTTGCTGCAAAACTAGGATTGTGAAGTTCAATGATATTGTCAGAAGACCAGTTATCTGTGTGTAGTAACTTGTATTTTGAAATCCTTTTTTTTCATAACATTCAAATTAGGTGATGTTGCATCGTTGCCCTTTTAGTCATGTTTCGCTGAAGTTACACTGGTTCTATCTTTCTTTGTTTGTGCCTTCAGCATTATTATTCAAGGTCGGCTGTCAGTCCCTTCTACTGATGTGGACATTGATGATGACAAAAGTACAGACATAACAGCTGAAGGATACAGCAACATGGACGGTGGGCCTTCTAGTCATGGAAAGCTAGGTCCACTGAATGCAGATGGCCTAGGAGGAAACAGTATCCCTAACTGGACTGGTTACAATGTACAGACTCCTTACAATGTACAGACTCCTGATTTGAATGATATATTATTGCATAATGAGGGTATTGCAGGGCCATCAGCTTTGTACTATCAACCTAGCCCATTTACTTGTGATGAACCTGCATCACCAGAGTTCATTAGCGCTCAGGCCCCAGCTACACCTGGTTTAATGGAAGAGACAGTTCCTTCCAGAGTCCATGAAAGTCCTGTTCTGAGCCCACAGAGAAAAGCATCACCATCTACCAATGATGAAACTGCAAAGGCTGACACTCCTGCTCCAGCCTATCTCCATTCAGCTACAGGAAATGCCAGTGATGTTGTGGGTGCTGAGATGACAGAACTTGAATTGGCGAAGCCTGTGCAAGTTGAGTCTTCTGTTGTGCAGGACACACATGCATTGGTGCAACAGCACACAAGTGAGGGTTTACCATCCCAGGATCAAGCATCACACTTGGAAGCTACTGCTGATGAGCTGGTTGGTTCTGATGGTATAGCTGCATCTGTTGAAACGGTAACTGTCAATGCAACCATTGAAGATGTACCTTTGGCTGTAAATGATTCAGAGCGATGTGTCGATGGTTCTACTGAACCATCTGTGGTGGAGAACCCAGTACAGATTAATGGGCCATTAGTTGATGCACAAGGTAATCAGTTGATATCCTTTGCTTGTTTTTATTTTGCCCATGCCATGGTCACTGAAAGGGTTAGAGATCATGTAACTTTTCTACTATTTTTATTTAGGTACAATTGCACCAAGTGCAAATTTTCAACATGAAGCCCAAGCAATGCAACAAGTAGTGGCATCTAATGATAGACTGAATGAACTATCAACTTCAGAATTTGCTGAGCCTGAGAAAATGCTGTCTGCTCCGGATGCGGAATTCAATCATGCAATTGACATGGGGCAGACAACTGCGGAAAAAGGAACAGCTGAATCTGATGGAAGTAACATAATAGGCAGCCTTACGAGCAGAAAAAGACACCTGGAAGATAGCTTACCAGCTTTAGAGAGTGAGACCACTGAAAGGTTGTCTAGCCGACCACATGGTAAAAGAACCAATGATTTTGTTCCTCATGATGATGATATACTGGCATCTATTTTAGGTACGTATGACTTATACACTGCATTTCTGTCACCTGGATTTAGTGTGTTTACCTAATTACTTGACCTTGCATTAGTCGGTAGAGGGACCCCTGGGTTCACACTTGATTCAACACCACTACCACCGAGGGAATCATCTCTGAAACGCCCGAGGTTGGGGTCGAAGATGGGTACACTCAAGAGAAAAGTGCAAATAGATGATGCCATGGTCCTGCATGCTGAGTATGTATTTGCTTTATAACTTTCAAATGTTTTTTTTATTATGAACAAGCAACTGCCAGTTTTTCTAAATTTATTCTTTGCTGAATTCCTACTGCCTCTTTTTTATCCTGACCGGATATGAAATTCCTATCTCCATAGTCCCTTTACTTAGTTCTTGTCATGTGGTTGTAATGCCAACCTGAACCAGGTTCTTATGCAGAGATGTTGTGATGTCTTTAGTGCTCGTTAAGGTTTTGACATTATTCCATGTTTATTCTGTATGTTTTCTTGTGCCATCACAACAATCTTGTTTGTAGAAGCTGTCTTACTCATGCTAGGGAGAGTATGATGCAGTTTTGCTTGAAATTTTGATCGGGATATTTCCTGGTCTGACATTCTACTGTTTGGTTTCATTTTCTATATGTGCCTGCTGAATGCGGCCCTGCACACAATTAATGAATGCTTTCCGAAATAACTTCTGGCATGAGTCTACTTGCTGACCATCTCTTTCCTTCTCCAGTACTATACGGCAACAGTTGATCAATACCGAGGATATACGGCGCATTCGTAAAAAGGCTCCATGCACTCGTTCCGAAATATGGATGATTGAGAAAGGTTCACTGGAAGATGATATATTCCACGAGCCCATCTTTTCCTGTAAGTTTCTTGTGATGTCTTTGTTTTTCTGTACACCGTGACATATCTAAGTTAGAAAAAAAATGGAAGTTGGAAGCATCTTGAGCGATGAGGCTGATTTTTGTATCTCTACTAGGTCTATCTGAGGAGCTAAACGAATTACACAATCGGACATATGAGGCTATTGTACGCCCTGCTGTTCAGAGCATGGAACTACAAGGTCAATTCGACATGCCTGAAACCATTCCAGAAGATAGCAATATTGCTGGGTTTGGTGCTGCTACAATTAATGACCCACTTCACATACCAGATGGGATTCAATCAGATGCCTTGCTGTCAGGTGCAAATGATGCATGTGGCACTACACCTGCTTTTGGTTTGCAAATTCCTCCTGACAACCAGGTTAACGGTGCATCTAATGATTTTGTTATCGGCACTCTGTTTCAAGGGGTGACTGAACCTTTTATTGATAATGAGAAAGAAGTGGCACTTGCTGACAGAGAGCATGCTCAAGTAGATACACTGTATAGTGACCATCTTCAAGATGTTCCATCTTATTTGCAGAGGAGTACTGATGCAAACGTTTCTAGTCAAGATGTGGCTCTAGATAACTCTGGCCAAGCTTGTGTTCACGCAGGGGACGACATGACAGGGGAGTTCAATCATTTTGTTCATAGCAATGCTAATATTTTTGAGAGTAATGAGGTCCCTGCTTCTGAGATTACTGAGGTGGAATATAATCAAGATGCCTCTGGTTTTCCTCGACCAACAGCGGATGAAAATGCGGTGGGATATAATCAAGATGCCTCTGGTTTTCCTCGACCAATGGAAAATGAAAATGCGATGGAATATAATCAAGATTCCTCTGGTTTTCCTCGACCAACGGAGGATGAAAATGCTGTGTCTGCTATGGGAGATAATTCTGGCTTCCAAGAAAACAACATGGGTTCTCTTATGGATCTGGATATGGTGAATGACTATGAACTGAAGGAATGCAATGTGAGTCCATTTACGCATATTCAAAATTTGCAAATGCTATAAGAATCTTTTAATTGCTTACTACAGCATGCTTTTCCTGGCCTTTCATTCCAATATCTTGCTGCAGAATTCGTTGCACTGTTTTGTTCAGTTACATCAAGGCCATATAATAATCGGTGCCCTGTTTGGTTTACAGGATTTTGGGAGTGCAATTCATGGTGTTGATACAGGTAGTTTATCCATTCTGACGTGCTCTAATGTATGTGTATGCCTTACATGTAAGGAGAGCAGGAGATTCCAAGTGGCACCTAGGACCTTTCTTTTCACTTATACACAATCAATCCTGCACACAGTAATTACATCCTGGGTTTATTACATCAAATATTTCCCCAACCAGCGTGTACTAGTTTTTGTTGGTCCTGTGTTGTGACAGACCTAGTACAAGCCTTTGTCACTGTCTGACCTTGTGTTGTTCCAGATTTTCTGAACTATGATGATGATGGGGACTTCGACGACGCCAATGATGACGAGCCAAACCCTAGTGAATTTCAGTCTCTTGACAACAGTGGTTGGTCTTCTCGCACCAGGTACAGTGCTAAGCGATATTTCATATGGAGTTCAGAATGTTCAGGGCCTTGCTCAACATTTTATGGTCTCAACGCATGGCTGTTCAGGGGTGTTGCAAGATATCTCAAGACTTTATTCGATGAAGACTCTGGTCTGGGGAGGAAGAGTGTCGCCATTGATCATCTGGTGCGCGGGAAGACACGGAAGGAAGCATCGAGAATGTTCTTTGAGACCTTGGTATGCCAATTCTTCCCTCAATTTTGCGGTTCAGTGCCGAGCCTCCCTCATGAGCATTAATTTGCTCTCCGTTTCATCCACAGGTGCTGACAACAAAGGACTACATCAGCGTGGATCAACCAAACCCCTACGATTATGTGAGCATAAAGCCAGGTCCAAAGCTGCTGATGTCAGAATTCTAGATCATCATAGTCAGCTTACCCTAGCGCGATACATACCATACGCCTTATCATTGTATTCATCGCACCGACCAACAACACTGCAGATGCCCCCACCGCGCCCCTTTACCCCTCCAACAAATCCATTTTTGTTGTTGTTAAGTTATCCTCCCCTCTGTAGCATCTCCTGCGCTGATCCGTTGTTGCTAGGGTTTGAGTAGGATGGTTGTTATGTTGTACCGTTGGCTATTCACTGTATATATGATTTAGTGACACTTGTAAAGCCTGCCATGTAATCTGATAGCGTCAGCTCCCCTGAGTTATTGTCTTCGCTTGGCTAAGCAAGCCTGTAGGAATTGTATACGTTAACAACCCGAGATGATGATGTACCTGTTGATTATGTCCGTATTGACAATTTTAACTCAATTATTCAAGTGACCTTTCTTGTGAACCATTTCTTCGTGCTGGATCTGAGGTAAGATTAAATGGGCCAGGATTCTTGCAATGTTTGATTGGGAAAACAGGTTGCGATGTTCGTCTGATGAGGGCTCGCTTTCTTATAAGCTGTACAAATAAAATAAGAACATGGTCAAAATAAGCTGGTTTGATTTAGCTTCTGTTTTTTTTATACAAATGAGAGTTGGGAATAAGCGTTGTAAAAAAACATATTGTTTGGCTGTTGTTTCAGCTTATTCTGGCCATATAAGCGGTACCAGACGGGCCTGAGTAAGGGCATTGTAAAGCGACTTTGGATCCGTACCTGCCGCAATGAAAGTTGCTGGTATCAGTCTAATTTGTTTTCATCACAGCCAGATGTCCCAAAAAAAGAAACGAGCAAAAAGGAACCCAGAAAAAAATGCTCGAAAAAAATCGTGGAGGATGACGAGTAGCAAGATCATGTCACCTTGGACGGCGATGGCTCGACAAAAGGAGGGCAGGAAAGCGACCACCACGACGGTGCGCAGAGGAAGTCGGTGCCGGAATTATTCGGCGACCACAGTGCCGTTTTCGGATAATCTTATCACGGCTGGCCGTCGTCGACAACATTTCTGTGGCGCATGGCCGTATGTCACCCGAAAACAGCTCGCGTCTTATCGCTCATCGGACGGTGCGGTGCACTGTGGTTGCACGTGCAGCTGTTCCTGCCACTCCCGGATGTGACGGCTGCCTCGTATGTACTGTAGGAGAAAATTGTTACTGGTGCCTTCGCTGCTCTGTGGACTACAGTCGAGTGACAAGCCTGCACCAGGACAGGTGATTGGCAAATCTGGCTCTGATGAAGAAGTCTGAACCTGACCGTGACCGACCTCCGCGCATCCAATGTCGGTGGCGTTGGTTTTTCACTGTAGTGGTAATGCATGTTTTAGGTTCTTTTGTTCGGCAGCTACATGTAGTAATAATAGTGTATCTGCAGAGTTGGCAGGCCCTTTCGGCAGAGATCACTCACGGTCCATTCATGGAATGTAGCCAAAAGGGCCTGCTGCAAATCGCTGTGCATGCTGCCGTCAAAAGCGAGCTCATCTATGGTCGATTTTTCCCAACATTCCCAGTGCCCCCAGCGCTTCCAAGCTGACATGCCATTTGCCTTTCTGTCGTGCTCGTCGCTCGATCGTGGGGACTGATGAGCCAGAGTGCAAAGTGATGGGCGATGGGCTATCTGCACGGCGTTTTCGTGAGTCGCTGCCCTGAAAGCGACCGAGGAACAGCAGGGGCGTGGATGCATGGGCACTAGCATAAACCTATATATAATCCGCAGCGGTTAACTGACCCACCCAATCCCAATGAAACAAACGGATCTTGACGGGAACGCTTTACATTACTACGCTGCTAACTGCCGCCTTCCTTCCTTTTTGTGTTCCTGCAACTACTACTACTTTTTTTGCTTACGAAGCAACGGGGGAGACGGAGTGGGAGCTGGAGGGGAGAGAGAGGAGAGACCGGAGCTGCCGGAGGAGAAGGGTCTCGGTTCGGTGGTCGACGTCACGGCCATGGCCATCCATCCACTACGGCGAAAAGCAGTCCTTTGTGGAGGTGGAGGTGGAGGTGGAGGTGGAGGCCACCAGAAGACAGCAGAGCCAAAGGCTGAGGTCTGCAATGCAAAAGCTGGCACGGAAAGGTTCCGAAACAGATTCTGCTGTCAGCGTGCGCAGCGCAGCAGCATGACAGCAGAATGGACCATGGCCCATGGGTGGCTGCTCCAACTCCTACTCCTACGTGACAGTACCGTATTGGGTGGCTCGCTGATTGGAGCTTCCTCCGTCACCGGGACGTAGTAAGTAGTTGACGATGCACGCAACGAGAGGTGGAGTCAAATACCACCGAGTGATGACGTCAAGTGAACCAGACAAAAACGAAGCTCCCATCCACCACCGGGCTTTAATTTCCCCCATGCAAGCAGAAGCAGTGGACACGCGCGTCGTCAGCAAAGGATATTACTCGTACGGGAACGAGCTCAGGCAAATGAAGTTTTCCGTCGCCTCCGGCCCAGACTGCTCCGGCCGCTTCCATCCCTAGTTGCGAGCACTTGAGCGGCAGCCGACTAGCATGAACCATGAAGGTGAAGGTTTCGTTTGTGTGGGTGCTCCTGGACAAGGGAGGGACAGAAGCGTGAAACGTCCCAGGAGAATGACACCGTTGTCTCACCGGGAGAGCATAAGCACGGATGGCGGCGAAAGCTAACCCGGTTAGTTCAGGGCTTCTGGCGTCAAGGCAGACGCGTGCAGGTTGAGTACTACTACTGGTACTCTGGATCGATGACCCATCATATATGACAGTGATCTGACGGCGTCAAATAACACGGGCAGTTTCCTACACTAAGTGCACTTAGTGCAGGGGGACACATGCATTTGTATGTTGACTATTATGTTTCATGACACGCGGTTGGATTGGATCATCATTATATTTGTGATTAGTACGCGAGTAAGTGCGCACGGTTGGGATCGATAAGCGAGATGCTAACCAAACACCACCCGATAAAAAGTCGTCGTGCCTCGTCTGGGTCGCCGCCGCCGTCAGTACAAGTTTCAGTACGCAAAAAGGATCACGCAAATTCATCTCCGTCCCTTCTTCCTGACCTATATATGAACATTATATAGGCCGGATTTCATCCATTGGCCCCGTTCGTTGGGTCGAACTTTGGCTGAAACGGTAAAAACACTGTTCCGGCTGAATTGTTGTGAGAGAAAAACACTGTTCCGGCTGAAAAAACAAGCCGAACAAGCTAGGCCATCTTTAAAAATGAACAGTAGATAGCTCCATCGCCCATCGCTCTCCGGTTAGATAGATAGCAGGATTAATGATTTTCGTTTGCTAGATATAGGCTGATGATGCCTGCTTTGGGGGACATGCAGCTAGCGCTAGCATACATGATACAGATGAGCACAGAGGGATCCAGTGAATGATCCATCGCTGTACAGATGAAACTGCGGCTCCACCACGTACGTACACCTCCCACGTGTTGGGCTGGCCGGTGGGCGCTGCTGCGCGCCGCCGTTGGAACTTGGAAGGGACCGTGGACCTCCGGCTCCGTTCCGCTCGACACGACATGCAGGGCGATCTCATTTGAGTGCCCCCGGCTCGCCCCAATTTTTTACTATTTAACCTTTTTTCTGGAGAAAAATTATATTTGGTCTCCTTGAAGACTTAAACTCATATTTAGATCCCGTGGGTCGGAGCCATGAGTCCTGGCGTCGAGGTAACATGTCTCGGCGTCGAGGTGCCTGGCCGTGCACTGTAGGGAATTCTAGGGGACGTTGACGTGGTCAGTACCTCGGCGCCAGAATACATGGCGCCGAGCTCCGAGCTCGAGCCATGTATTCTGGCACGTTGATGGCGCGCGCGACGAGGCGGACAAGGCTGGCGAGGACGGCCACAGCGACGTGGGTGGAGCATGGCGACGTGCGTGATAAATGCTTGCGTAGCTAGCTTGCTCTGTCAGATTTTTATTACACAAGACAATATCCAACAAAGATCCACAACCCGTTAACAAATACAACTGAGTTGATGCGCACTTTCTTTGCTCACTTGCTTTTGTTGCCGCTTTTTGCTCACTATCTTTGCTCATCGCTTTTTTTCTTTTCTTTTCTGCTTCTTTCTTTGCTCCGTTTTGCTCACTAGCAAATACAGTGGATGCATATCTACGGAGTTAGCATCAGAAACTAGATATGCTGCTGCTGCAAGGTCTATGCTAGTTTCTGATTGATCACCGTAAGGAATAGATGCTAAACCACTTTGAAATCCTCTTGTTCTGTTTGGGTTCTGATGCAAATTTTCAATGAATCTTGGTAGAATCATCAAGTGTAAAATACCACCCTTTTAGTGTTTTGGCTGTATTAAAAAGATCATGTTAAATGTTTGAAGTGTGACGAAAAATTCTGGCTTGCAAAATCTTTTGTGCGATGTTGTAAAAGCATATTCGCTGGTTCATATATTACACAGTCTATTCTTCCAACTCAGTGTGACGTCTGAATTTCATCTTGGATAGTGATTGGGCTTGGCCTGACATGCTTTGGAATATTCTTCTCCTTTCTAGGAATCGATTTCTTCTTTGACAAGGGGCTCATTGCAATGGGCAATATAAGTGAACTTCCATTTTGTTTTTTGCTTTTGAATCTTTTGAGGATCTAAGTTAACTCACTGTGCGTATGGTTCACCTTTTTCTCTTGATGCCATTTCAGATTCTTTCCTGTCAGGTTTGGGTTTGACAATTTGGTCTGAAATCAACTATGCAGTTCTTCACAAAGCCAAAGAGTTACAAGGTTTTTGCATCACTGTATTTGCTAGTGAGCACAACGCAGTGAGCAGCAGCAGCAAAAGCCGTGAGCAGCAGGCGCGCATCAACTCAACTGTATTTGTTAACGGGTTGTGGATCTTTGTTTGATATTGTCTTGTGTAATAAAAATCTGACAGAGCAAGCTAGCTACACAAGCATTTATCACGCACGTCGCCCTGCTTCACCCACGTCGCTGCGGCCGTCCTCGCCAGCCTTGTCCGCCTCATCGCGCGCGTCGTCAACGCGCCAGAAT